CAGTAAGATTATTGTTGGATAAATCACTATACATATTTCCAAACAACAAAATGTCAAGCAATGCCATTAGCTACTAACTTAATTTCTAGTGTTCACCAAGGCAAGAAACAAATTGGAGGAGACCAAGTGGAAAATGCTTATAGTTTTTGGAGAAGATGTAGATTAGAAAAGTAGGCAAGAATGCTTTCAATAAGATTATTATTGGATAAATCACTATACAGATTTCCCGACAACAAAATGTCAAAAATCATGAAATGACACAAAGTTATTGCAATCTAAAGTGAGTATTTTCAAAATCTTAAAGTAAGCAAATCAATAAAAAAAGAGTACATTGCCAGAGAGAGAATCTTACATGGTTGTGATACTATTAGAGAGCTTACTTTTAGGCATGGGTCCACTTAGCTGGTTTGAGCTCAAGTCCCTAAAATTTATATAAGGGAAATAGAAATAAGAGTTACATTTAATTATCTAATAGGAAATTCATTCCATCATGAGGAATAAACACATGAACTTACAGATAACCAAGGTTGGGTATTCCGCTTAGGTCAGGGACTAATCCTTGCAACTTGCAATTCCTGAGACTCCTGATAATTTAACCAACAAAAATGTTTAGCATCACAAAATTTCCCACACCTTCAAATCCACATATGCTCCCCAATAGTGATTTTCAATTCATGTTAAAATTATTATGGATAGCTATATAACATTTATTTTTTAGTCGTACAATATTTAAGGTATTTCATGTTTATAATATTTGCATTTCATCCTAGTTGTGTAAGCAAAACCTCATTTCACTCTGAAAATTATCCTTCTAAGTTTTATTAGTTTCTCTTTAATTTAAATATAGCTTTAAAGAAATTTCATTGTTTCGTGTTCTGTTACGGATGGTTTTTAACCTATGTTTGATTGAAATGGTGAAACCATGTAAATATTGCTTTTCAAAAATTTCAAATGTGTAGTCTTATGTATTACGTGTAAATATATTAATAAGATGGTAGCGCTTGTCTCCTCATCTCTACCTTCTAAATCTATATAATGCCAAGATGGGGTTATAGTAATCACTTACAACTTCAACAATGTAGGTATGTATCCAAATGATCCTGGAATAGTGGCCCCATCAAAGTTGTTATTGTCAAGTTGACTGAAAAAGGTAAAAATGGAGAGTGTTAAGGAAATCAAAGAAGATTATCAATTGAAATCTGAAATGTAAAAGCATTTTCATGTAAAATTATAAAGTTATACTCAACAAAAGAATGATCAACAGGAGAAAAATATACAGAACAAATGCAACTATGGACGTTATTAATGAGAAAAAAAAAATGTTCATGTTTGCATTTTATATATAAATACCTCAGCTCCGTCCTATTATTTCCCTCCTCCTTATCTTGAATAATTAACAAGGTACAATATATAGCTCTCACTCATTTTACGTTTTCATTTAGATATCCCACAAAAATCAGAATAAATTACTGAGAAGCATTAATCCATATCAAAATATTTCCAAGAAAATAAGAAAACATACAGGATGGTTAAATTCGGCATTTGGGCAAGCTCTTGTGGAAGATACCCTGATAAATTGTTATTGTCAAGAAGGCTGCATAAGAAAAAAAATGAATGGAGCCTTAGAAGGAAGCTGAGTTGCACATAACCACAGATAAGTTAATGCTATAGATATATATATTACAAGACTAAAATAGGAGAAATTAACCTATGATAAACTTACATGTGTTCAAGGTTTGGTAATTTGGATATCTCCGGGGGGATTTGTCCGCTAATTAAATTATTATTCATGTGACTGCTCAAAAGGAGAAAGAAGATAAGGAATAGATTGAAAATATAAAAAGGAAGGCAAAGAGAAAATACCAAGGGACACTGGGGGTGGCTATTTCAGAAATGCCCTTACAAATGCTTTGTTTTGTTTAAGTTTGCAAATGATGTAGGTATTGGTCCGGATATTTTATTCTCGTCAATTTGAATCCTGTCTAGATTAGGCAGATAGCCAAGCTCATCAGGCAAGGAACCTATCAATTGGTTCCCATTCAGGAGCCTGTAAAATAGAATACCACTCCTAAATGAGCAAATAAGAAAATTTGATGTAGATATGCACAATGTTGCAATATTGATAATTAGATTGGAAATGAACCAAAAAATCATTGTTAAACAAATTTAACTTACAAGAGCTCCAAGGTTGTGATATTGCCAATCTCTTTTGGTATACTCCCACTAATTTTGTTCCACATAAAATCCCTTTTACAATGCAAACGAATGATAAATTATCATTAGGTGAAAAATTATAAATTTTCTAGGAAGGATTGAGATAAAGGTAGCTTTCATAATGTACTTAGCCTCACAATATCAACAGACGAGATAAGCGGCCAAGTGCTGGTGATAAAGTTCCTGAAAGATTCATATTCAGTAGTTGCCTGCATGAAGCAAAATAAAAAAAAATGAAGCAATATAGCATAGTTGTTAATTAGTCAAAGAAAAATAATTAGTATACACTTGGTTTAACACATTTTCTTACATACTTCTAGTTCAACTATTAAAAATATAATATAAACATAATTAATTTAGTTAGTTCCTTTATCATGTGTGCATGATTATATCTTTAAATTTGTCTACTTTTAATTTTAGATTAAAAAATAGTAATTTTTTAATGAATATATTGTGCAATGTGTTGAATCGAGTATATACCAATCACTATTAGTAAAATTATCAAAAGCAAGGTGAAAGTTTACTGGAAGTTGATATCTAGTTTTGGTGGGTTTGTAGACGTTTAGGAAATTCTTGACATAAAAACAAAATAGCGGTAACCAGTTAAGTGCTATTATATGGTGAAGGGATTGTGGCAGCAACTTTTCAATTATGTTTAGCAAGTATCCAAATTAGTACCTAAACCTATATATCTTAGTGGAATGACTGCAATGATGGGTAATTTGTCCATAACCATGCAAAACGAAATTGAAAACTAAAGCTTACAATTCTATGACATGCAGATAGCCATCATCTAGGGATGTATTAGAGCATGAAACTCCAGCCCAATTGGATGTGCATGGATCTCCTCGATTCCAACTAGTCAAACTTTTATTGGGATCTGTCAAACTTCTCTTAATGGTTCGCAATGCGCTCACTGCAAGTTTTAATTAACATTAATTAATTCATCTAAATGAATGTTATATGATTTTGGGATATGAAATAGTAAATCAAACCACACAAGATAAAAGTGCAAGCTACTACTACTTGACTTTAAAAAGAATAGATCCAAGGAAACTATACATGCTTGGGAGTATTTACACGTATGCATCATCTCTCAAAAAGTGCTTAAACATGGTCCTATTCTTAAGGCACAATTAATGCAAACTCTTAGGCATTCTCTGAAAATAAAACCACGAGACCAAATGGCAGAAGCTCGAGCAAAATCGGCTTGTGGCCTCTACTATTGAATCAAGACACAAAAAAAGCTACCTTCATCTGGATGAGTTTTGGAACTTTGTGCTCCAACAAGCGCTGAAGACAAGAAGAAGCAGCCCAGAAGGACACAGAGTTTTGTTTTGGACATCCCAAGATAGCAGAGTACACCAGAGTTGTGAAGCATCTCCGATCTATACACACATAACCAGAAATGGGAGTCTGTCTTTCAGCATAAGAAGAGAGCAACGAAGACTGAAAATTTAACCCCTTTTTTCCTCGGAAAAGGAAAACAACTTTAATTTGTATTCATTCAGATAAATGCAAAATTCCTGTGTGGGACAGACAGCTAAAGAGACAATGAAGCATTGCTATATATAATTGTAAAAGAAATAGCAAGGAGGTTTGGGAAGATAAAAAGAAAATAAAACATTACCGTGTAGAAAGATAAAATTGTAGAGACGAGAGGAGAGGTTCTGCAACATGAAATGAAAATGAGAAGATATAATCGAAGTCTGAGTCTGACCTGGTCATCCATGCATGAGGAAGGTGGCGACCTGGTCATCTATGATGAGGAAGGTGGCGGAATTGATGATGGTGGAGGTGTGAACGTCCGTATCTTTCCTCTTCGATTTTCATAGCGTATATTAGAAAGCTACTGAATTAAAAGGAGGGTTTTGACTTTGCGCAATTTAAATTCTTGATTTTTGTGAGAATTGAAGCTAATAAAAGCTTTCAATTTAACAGAAAAGATAAAAAGTCAAAAGTCTAGTGACATAACATGGCGAGCTCTCATAATAAAAATTAATTCCTATATTGATATATTGTTTCAAGTCTCTGTTGTCTGCAACCAAAAAATAAAAAATAAAGAAAAAATTGAAAATTTGTTGACGATGATGATGGCCATACCTACAGTTTTCATCCCATCACAAATGATTCATCCAAATTTAATTCTTGAGATTCTAAAATTTTGAAAGGCAGCTTTCAGCTTCTCTCGATGGGCTTGGCAATTGACTTCCTGCGGGCTTGTTAAGTTGTACGTACGTGGCTATCAAAAGTAGGGAAAAGAAGAGGGTGAGGGACAATTGCTGTCTAATTCCTGTGGAGTCACTCTCAGTGGTTACGGATTAGACTTTGGTTGTGTTAGTCATACCGTGCGTTCTCAAAAACATGAGCTTTGAAATTTCTAATTGATAATATTTTGCTCAACCAACAATGAAAATATGAGGCCTATGTGACTCGTTCAGAACGTCCAATTCCCCTAGCCAACGCATGAACGTGAGCATGATTAGCTATTACGTAAGTAATGGTAAAAGCTAGGCCTGGGCTCACTCTATGTAATCCATTATTGATTATTCCACTATCCAGCTAGCTTTTCTTCGGCCCGGATTGTGCTGGAGCCTGGAGGACTTTTCCTGGCCCACCTACCTTGATCGCTTCACTCGTCTTCAGTTGGAGGCCCAGTTACCTTTCAACAGAAAGCCCAGGAATGAAAACCTCATCCACACCACACCTCTTTCTCCCAATTTCAGCTCGTAAAAATTGGAAGTTCATTTTTCCAAAAAAAAGGCACCCACCCAACCCAATTAGGTTTCGAATTGGATGCTACATTTCAAAAAAATTAGTTGAAACCCAGCAAAGTTACTATTCATTTGAAACCAAAAAATGAATAGCGCGAATTTGGGTAAGGCTTGTTTTTGATCCGACGATAACACGTAGCTGGTCCTGCAAACCCAAAAATGATAAAGCGTAAACCAAGTCAAGTGCAATAAAATCTATTGGGGGACACGTTACTCAACATGGGATTCGAACGAACCATAAGAACAGATCAATTCCTGACGGTAGACTCAAAATCTTTGAGCACAAAATCAGATATTCTGACATCAAAGATTGAAGCAGAGACAATAGCTAGAAATGTAAGAATTTTATAAGCCATGGGAGCTGATAAAACACAGAAGAACATAACAAGGCTAATCTCTGGATTTGATTTCTTTCCTCTTCCTCACAAACTAATGAAATTTTATAACTTGTTATAATTGTGATGAATTGTAATGATAAATTTTTTTATTGTAAGTCTATATTTCCTTTATGAATGTATGGTAGTAATAAAATATTTTTTTAATGATGAAATTTTTTATCATTATTGAATATGTACACATTTGTAATTAATTTTTAAAATTTGTCATAGTTATAGTAACAATTTGAGAATTTGTCACAAATTTTTATCATTAAAATCCCTTTCTCTTGTAGTGTCAAAGAAGAATTTAAAATAAATAAATAAATAAAACCCTAGTCAAGATAAAATAATAATGAATGAAATAGAAATCATATAAGCTGGAAGAATAAACCACCATCAATCAGACACAAACAATAGAAATCAGCCAAAAAGAAACCAAAAGTAACCCACAAAGGTCGATCTGATATTGCCGACTATAATTTCCTATAAAATTTCGGAGAGGAGCTGAACACAAGCAGATAATTCTCTGACTCTTAATCTATCTCATAACTTCAACCCATGGCGATCTGTGCAGAAATCGGCAGCTAAAACCCTAGGAAATGTGGAGAGGAAAAGACCATGCCCTTTGCTTATAGCAACGTTGGAAACCCTATCAGACCTGCTGACAAGCGGAAGTTTCTAAAAGGTTAAACCCTCAATTTGATCCTCAATTATTGTACAGACTCTTGATTCGGTCTCTAAACTAAAAAAATCCATAATTTGGTATCTCAACTATTGTACGGACCCCTTATTTAGTCCTTACTGTTTATCAATTGGACCCCAAGTTGGTTCTTCCGTTAAAAAATAACTGATGTATCCATTATTTAAAAGTAAAAAATTGTTACTTAATTGTTACGTGTCACATTAATAATGAGATACGTCATCTGTTTTTGTACAGAAAGCTCAACCTAGAGCTAAATCGATAAATAGTATGGACCAAATCAGATATTTTTTTAGTTTAAGAATTAAATCAAAGATCTGTACAATGGTTGAGAGATCAAATTGGAAATTTAACCTTTCTAAAATGCAAGAGGAACCGTTTTGTTTTGTTTTATGTTTTGTGTTTTGTGTCTTTCTT